TTCTCCTTGGTTTCAGTCCTGGGCGCCGCCATCTATATACCTGTCACAGCGGTACCACGCTAGTTTTTGTAGGGTTCCCTAGTAGACAAATTCAACCACCGCTTGCACCTTTGTCTGTTCGTGTTAGGTGACGCTACCCACCGGAGTATAATTCCTTTTATGAACCTTTTAAAAATATAAAATTTAATATTCAATAGTCAAACTCTGATTATCCCTTTTGTAATGATATTATTCAATTTAATTTAGTTTAATTTATCACACTCATTATTGCTTACAACATATTTTATTGTTTTTGGATGTGTAACTTAGTATCCAACTATGATTGTTTGGCTTTTGGTCGTAAGAGGGAGCTACTTGGTTTGATTTCTGGAATTGTCAGGTTTTTTATGCAGCAAATTTTACTAATTTCCTGCCACCATCTTCTTCCTCATCTCCATTACATTCTTACTCCTCGTGCAGACAGCACGATTTTTCATTAAGTAAATTTTTGAAATTTGATTAACAACTAAAAGCTAACACCCACTAACATCCAGAAGTACAGATGAGCGTCCAGAATTCCGCCTCCTATAGGCATATTCTGTGTTTGTGTGGCAGTCCTATTTTTCTAATGTTAATAAAATAATTTTTTCAATCTTCACCTTTGGTAAGTTGAAACTTTGACGTAATTTTTGAAATCGTACTCACAAGCTTCCTCTATTCCAGTTTTGTAAATATGTTCTGTGTTGGATGCGGCTTTAGCCACCAACTTTATGCTGATAACAGCATGAACACTTATATTTTTATGTATAATTATTATACTTAGGCATGTCGTATATGACCATATTTTCCCTGTGCCATTTGGTAAGTTTTTGATGTATACACCCCAGCCCCTCGCCATAACTCCCATATTTTTGTAACTTGTAGAACTTATGCTGATGATGGATCTATGATAGATCCGAAACATGTACAACCCCCCTTCCAACTGATTATTTTTGTAAAATAAAGAGTGAAGATAGACTGTGTGTTTTACTCCAGTTCTTTAATTGTACATAAGTTATCTAGCTAGTTTTTAAATTATTCTATATATATATTTTTTTCTATAAGCACCTAGATGTGAAACATCTGTATGTGCAGCATCGCTAAGCAGTGTTTTTATTTGTATTTGTAGTTTTTATAATTTGAGTGTACATTAAGAATTAAGAGCAAGAGAGAGAAAAAAAAGAAAAATAACAAAGTAACAGTTCACATATTGGTTGGTTTTACAATTTATCAGTCCCACACAAACATGCAGACAACAAAGTCTGCCCTACAAACACCACGGAACACTTAGCTAAAAAACCTTTCAAATTGATGAAGACTCTCATAAATAACATTTTTACTTAAAATTTTAAAACTTCTTATTGAAGAGCAATTTCTTACTTCCTGTGGCAATAGGTTGTACAGTTTAGGGCCAAAATAATTTATGTATCTTAGATTAAGATTATTAGTACTTATTGGTAGTTTAATTTGCCTGTCGCACCTCGATCTTGTTTCATAAGTATGATCAGCTTTCATAAGTATGATCAGCTAACATTTTCATGTTAGGTCGAGTGTGTATATAGGAGCAAACTTTGAGAATATATATTGATCGAATGTTAAAAATGTCTCTGTCAAAAAGCAAATGTGTAGGATACAATCTATTTTTTTTGAGAATAATTTTTATTATATATTTTTGTATTATGTTCAATTTGTACAGGCTGTTATTATAAAGTCCACCCCACACCAATATTCCATATCCTATTATTGATTCTACAAATGCTTTATAAACTATTATAAGCGTTCTTTTATTTAAAAATTCTCTCAATAAATAAAACTTATGAATGAGTTTGCGAATTCTATTGGAAACTCAATATGTGGTTGCCATTTAAGAAATTTATCAATAACAATTCCGAGGTATTTCGTTGATGGAGTTTCTTTAATACAATGGTTATCTACAACGATGGAATCATATTGTGGTCTGTTTGCATAGTGATGTGAACAAGGGAACGTTCTGATTGTGCTTTCGAGAACATTCGCGAACGTTCGCGCACGAAAAAAAGGTTCGTGCTGAATATTACCTTCGGAGCACAATGAGCACGATAGAGAATATTCAGCACGTTCTCAAGCACGATGCTAACCAATAAAATCACATGACGCCATAAAGTAGAGATATATTTATGGAAGCTGTTGAAGGCGAAGATATATCGAATATTGAGCCCGAGAACCAGAAAGCAACTTGGCAGCAATAGTTATTTTTTTTTGGAGGCAAAGGTAGCGTTGTACTGGAATATACTCAAACTAAAATCACTATTTTATTTTATTATCAAAAAAAAAAGAATCCTAATGATAATTGTATGTTGAAGTTTCACAGAAAACCCCAAATTAGAATAATTATTGTTATCAAACACAATTCACAAATTATGTGATTAATTATGTATTAAGTAGGTATATTTTCCTAAGAAGTTTGAGAACTTTCAGCACATTTATCAAGAATTTTCAGAATATTCAGAACTTTCACGAGAAATTTGGGAATTTCGGGAAATTTGAGAAAAATCAGAATTTATTTAGAAAAATGTTTTGTTTTATTCAGCTTCTGATAAAAAGCATAAATTCTCGGGCCCTGCTCGTTTTTGCTCGTTTATTCTCGTTAATTCTCGATCCTGCTCGGAGAACGTTCTCCTAAAATACTTGCTCGAGCATTTTACATCACTATGTTTGCACCAGAAAGTGAAAATGCTACGTAGTTCGTTTTTGCTAAGTTTAATGTTAGCTTATAAGATTGAAGCCAGTTCTTAATTTTCGCCAAACTATTCACGGTCTTATTCCTTACACTATCCCAAGTATCTCCTGAGACAACCAGAGCCGTATCATCGGCATAAGATACAGTTACGCCCTCGACCTGCAACCTCAATAATGAGTTGATGTATGCTATGAAAAGTACTGGTCCCAAGACTGTTCCTTGTGGAATGCTAATTTTTATTTTTTGTTTATTACTCAAGGTGTTATTTAACTTGACCATTTGAAGTCGCTCTGACAAATAGCTTCTAAACAACTGTGAAGCTACTCCTCTTATTCCATATCTTTCAAGCACATTGATAAGCTCATCATGAGGCACAGTATCGAACGCCTTGGCAAGGTCCAGAAATACAGTTAAACATTTTTTTTTTGAGTTTAGATTATCCACGACTTCAGTTAGCAATTTGTGCATGGCGTCCTCGGTACTACACCCATTCAGAAATCCGAATTGGTTTGTCGACAGCACGTTATTGTTTTTAAAAAAGCTAATTATTCTGGTTTTTATACATTTCTCAAAAAGTTCTGCAAAATTACTAATAAGGCTGATAGATCGCTAATTATTTATGGAGGTCTTAGTTGCGGGACTGGGAATGTTTTTGAAAAAACAAAATTGAATGATATTGGCTCCAATTAACCAGTTGTCTTCTTTTTTTAGCACTTTGAGATTTTCAGGGTTTAGTACAATATTACAATACAATATTTAGTTTTTCTACGTGCATGCGGGAAAGGATTCTTCCCGCACTATTTGCTGTGCAGGAAGACTGTTTTCCCGCACTGGTGCGGCAAGAGTTTGAAATAATGATTGTGACATCGAATTGTTTTGTTTGTATTGTTAATACATTTTTAATTTTACCTTCTGCACAATCGCATTTTATTTAAATTAAACTTCTCGTAACATCACCTTTAGTATGCTCGTAGAAAAAATATAGTTCCTAACTCTTGCAGGAAGAAATTTCCGGTACTCGTTAGGAAAATAGCTATTTTTTTACAACTAGGTAAAAAATAAAATAATGTTGTTATTTTTTTTTTATCACCTAATATGTGTGTGCGTCAATTCCATAGTTACAATGTGCAATATTGCAGTATGTAGTAATGTTTAAGTTTTTTCACTGATCTCAAGAGTCAAGAGTACAAAGACATAGGTATAAATATGTTTTATCCCATTTTGACATTTAAAAATGACATTATTGAACGCATAACAATAAAGGCAAGTAGATGTTTATCACCTCAGTGATTTAAAAACATTTTAACTCACTCTCAGCATTTTAAGTCACTCTGCCCAACTAAAAATCTGAAACCTCAGTGATTTAAAATATTTTTAATTCACTCCCGGCATTTTCCCTCTACTTTATTTTTAAAATTTTCACAAAATGGTATAAAATTTTGTATACATCACGTGAGTTAAAATGTTTATTCATTCGAAGAAAATTAACCCACTCGCTAGGGCTCGTGGGTTAAACTTTCTTCTCATGAATAAAAATTCATTTAACTCACTTGGTGTATAAATAACTATTATTTCCTTGGTATTTATTTTTCAAATGTATTATCCTTGGCATTATCGAATAAAACAATTTTGTTTTTCTTCAACAGATGCAGGCAATTTTGTTTATTGTTTTGGTTTTTGCAAACATTCCTTCACATTCCCAGTTTTGGGGAACGTTCCTGGAAATGTTCCCGGGAACTTTCCCAAAAAACACTTTCCCAGGAATCTGCCCATCACTACTTGCAATATCACATAAAATTAAGTCTGGAAGAGCTACATTTAAAAAATTACCAATGAAAGGGAGGGAATCTAACGAGGAATCTGAAATCAATTTATACTTTTATCTGATCTGGAACTTCTTACTATTTCTACAATAAGCTAATAAATCTACAGAAAAAACTGTGTCACGCTGCTGGGTTTTTTTCTCGAGAAAATATAAAAATCATTCGCATTGGTTTTTTTTTTCTGGCAAAAGCGCTAATTGACAGTATTCATTAATATAGTATTTGCAAGTTATTATTTGAATAAAAATAAACAGAATCAAAGCAAAGTGCTAAAAAATACATATTTCAAAAGTTCACAAAAATCACAAACCTTGTAGCATGCTTATTCAAAAAATCGTTTTGCAAGAGTGCTAATTAGAGGCATTGAGTTAGGCCTCCGACATATGAATTTTTGTGATGTAAGCATTGGACTTAATATAACATTTGTGAGATGTACATACCCGAATGTCTCCTTGGTTGGCTGAAGCAATGATATCGGTCAACTTGTGTAGGAGAACGCAAAAGGGACCCTGTTCTTCGATACTCTTGTTGAGGTCCAACTAAGGTAACTTGATGTTAATAGGCGGGAAATGCGCAAGGTAAATGATGCTTACAATTACTGGATTAAAGCTAATAAGTGAGAGTTTACCTTAAAAACCTCAAAGCCATATTTAGAGCAAACACCAACTAATTCTTGCCAGTTAATTTTTTGTAACTTTTTCTCCGACATCCAAACCGCTAGCCGCTTGTTGGCAGGCATTTTTTCTCCTTCCTCTAATAGAACTGAACAACTATTGAACGTTACTTTTCTCAAACCATGCCAGTTTATTCATTTTTCCGGAAAATAAACATTTTTGTCAACAAAAAAGTGTCACATGTCACGACGAAGGACACACGAAGTGTCATCACTGTCATCATTGGTGAACGGTGAACGTGAACCACGTGAACAACCCAAACAACTTGAACTGAACTGAACTGAGCCGCGTTCTTGTATTTCTGCGAGTGACTCCGAGTGACTGTCACTTTTTGATCGGCATGTTCTTTTTAATTGGTGCAGTATTTGACTCTCGGAGCTTTTCCGCATTCCTCTAGAAGCCTCATCGGCTCGCTCATCGCACAATGGAACTTAACTTAAAGAAGCGTTCCAGCAGGTGCCCAATAAAAATCCGAACCGAGCAGATGTGAGGTAAGATGCTCCAACAGTACGGGCGCAAAAGTGTAGTAGTCAAATGACATGTGATTGTGATCGAGCGCACAGAGCAGTTAGGTATAGTTTTCATGCTTTCCGACGAAAGATGTCCGAAAAACATTCTATTCTGACATAATCCTATAAAAATATGTCAAAATAGAAGGTTTTTCGGCAGTGGCGTAGTGACGATGTTCCGAGCCCGTGTTCAAAAATTTCACCAGGCCCCCACTCGTGCGAGATGAAAAAATTGAGAAATGTTGGAAATATTGGTCTTGTTCAAATATAAGTACAGGGTGAACTTAAAGTATGGAACATATTTAATATAAAATAAATGAAGGCGTTTTCGAAAAAACGCTCGGACACGTCGATTTTGCTTGATCTTTTCACTTTTTCATATTAATGTTTTTATACAAGACTTTGTACTGTACCGTTATCAACTTTATTTTTTCAAATGGTACCCTCATACTGTGGAGTGGTTCGACCGTACTAATGAATTTTGAAGATATGCGACACACGACAAGCAGTAAAATCGGAAAGTTTTTTTGAAAGAATAAAAGAAATCATAAGTCAAATAAGTCTACATAAAAATGTAAGAAATCACGACTTCACCTACGTAGATATAGATATATTATTTTTTAATTGGCCGTGTTCGTTTTTGTCGTCTTTTTCGTCGATTTTCTCCAAAATTTTGACAGGCACGTGACTGGATCAGACAGTTTCAATTTACAAATCACCTGTCAAAAGTTCGGAGCAAATCGACGAAAAAGATGACAAAAACGAACACGGCTATTGAAGTGAAAGTTCTTAGGTCGGTTTCTCAATAGCGAGTCAACTCCGGGTTGGTTTTAACTCCAGGGTAAACGTGTCCAGTTGCAATGTTCACCCTAACGTTATGCTTAACCCAGGGGTGACTTGCTATTGAGAAACCGGCCCCTTGGCGGCGGTCTGATATTTGGACGAGAATGAAGATTGGTTTGAAAGACGCATCGCATAACGTCACGTTTTGGCAAATTTCGTTACACGATAGACGAGAGAGAAGAAAGATATGATTTAACGCTTAGACAAGGAAAGAGAGGGGACTCGTAACACAGCAGGTGAAAATGAAGCAGTTTGCCACCAAAAAATGTCTGCTTTTTTCATAACATAACCTAGAAAGCATATTGTTTTTTGCCTGTTAAATGTAATCCCGTAGACTTTTTTTTCTCTGCGGGTTTTGCAGCCATACGCTAGCAATCCACCATGCTGAATATCACAAAAATGTTAGTCTGAAGTAAAATTCACATAGTGGCACCATGAAAAATTGTCGCCATTATTTGGTGGCAAACGGTCACAACCAGCTGCTAGTGCAGGTAAAGGATGTTACGCGTCCTCTCTCTTTCCTTGTCTAAGATTTAACGTAAAAAGATTGAAAAAAATAGCCAATGATAATGACAGCCGACGAACGATTGACACAAACCAAAGATTATAAGCAAAGAGGATTGCCTATTATTGTCAAGCGCCGATACCTTTGGGACGTCACTGAAGATGCGCGTCTTCCTTTTGTCTGGCTCTTCGTCTTTACCCGATCAGTGCTTTACCCTGACTCATACTCTTACGTCTAAAAGTTGTATGAGGAAGGGAATAGTTTTTAAGAAGTATCACTTCTTGAGACGTGTACGATGCTACACATGATTTTTATTTTTATATAAATTAGCTTGGAATGTTTTTTTTTTATACTTAATAGGAGAAAAAATAATATTGACATGCAGAATCGGGCCCCTTGAGCTACCGGGCCCGTGTTCCGCGGAACACGTGGAACACCGGTGACTACGCCCCTGTTTTTCGGACATATTTCGTCGGAAAAACAGATGCATGAAAAGTACCCCTAAACGCTGTTTCAGAGCGCAGGAAATTTTAATAAACGAACGCGAATGAGCCTGCACCGAGCACACTTTTTAAATAAACGAACGGTGAATTTGAGCTCGGAGAACTGAGATCAAAATACCGAACGCACATACCTTGCGTTCGGTATTTTGCTCAAAGAGCAGAACGTGCTGAGCGGAGCCGTAATCACGTGACCATCGAGCGAACAGAGTAGTTGAACGCTGTATCCGAGTGCCTGAACTTTAAATAAACGAACGCGAATAAGCCTGCACCGGGTACACTTTTTAAATAAACGAACGGTAAATTCAAGCTTGAAGAACTCAGATTAAAATACCGAACGCACGGATAGTGATTTTGAAACTACATTGGAAAGATTTCAACCATTCAACCTAACCTTAATCCCTAATCAGATAATCAGCTGTGTTGTGTTGTGTTTTTAAACAAGAAATAAGAATCAAGAATCGTAATCGTAGTTTTTAAACTAAACCCACAGCTTCTAAAACTTTAACAAATATAATTTTATAATAAAATATAAATTACACTGTGAGAGTAACAAACAACTAAAAATGTCTGATTTCGAAAGAAAGAAAATAATTACTAACAAAAACAGACCCTTCAGTAATCGAGTGAGTACAATATGAAATCAGATCTTCCAAGAATAAAGCCATTTGAAAAGCCTATAACTTTCTAACCAAATGTTCCAAACAACGGTGATTTCAAGTGTAAAAAAATAGACAAATTTCCCATGATACATTTCTAGAACACCTGGTTAAAAAGTTGCAGCCCTTTTAAACAGGTTAGTCTCAGTCTCCTAGGAGCAATGAACTATAAACTACATGTACCTGGAATGGCCCGCAGATCTATAAATTAGTATAAATTTGCAGCAGATTCAGATGGAGAATGTGGGGTACACACATCTCTATTTATCTTATTGGCGAATCATGGAAATCTTTCCTTGTCTACGTGTAGTTTATAGTTCATTGCCTAGGAGACACTGGACAATATACACGGTGCCCATTTAGTTGTACATAAACTAATAACTCGGTTGCTATTGGAGTTAGAAGCAGGACCGTTCTTAGGCGCGTGCAGGTTGTGCAGGCACAAAGGCGGCCAACCCTAAAGGGCGGCCGCAGGCCGCAGTCCTAGGAAGAATTTTTGGAATACGCATGCAATGACATAAAATTTGCAACGAATATCGCAAAAAATGGAGCTATATATATATAGGTATTTGCAATTTTCTCTCCAAATTTAAAATTTTGCGAATTCGCTTATTTCTTCACATAGGACTAACCTAATAGGAGTGGTTTCCACAATTCGCATCTACATATTATTATTACATATATACAAGTTTATCTGAAGATGAATAAACCGGGCCTAAATTTGTTAAATATTTAGTACCTATTTAAATTAGGGCTGTCATCCGTGCGGATTTTCCTGGATATATCCTAGCTTTCAAGGTTCCCGGATATATCCTAGCTTTCAAGGCATCTGGAGGAATTTTTTGAAGTTATCCATGTTTTACGGAATAAACCATAAACATTATTGTTTTTAGGCTAAAAATAATCGTATTTGGGCCTGGCACCCGAAAAAAATTATGCTCGTGCTTTTTGTCTGAAATATTTCCCAGGTTTGAGGCTTTCAGAACCGGAGTTCTTGCATCATTGGTTCTAGGTAGCCAATTTCATAATAGGCAGCCTTAATTTAAATAAAATAATATTTTCTAAAATAGTTGTTTTGGCTTTTTCATGTCTGCACAAAGGCGGCAGAGGGGCTAGAACCGCCCCTGGTTAGAAGGATGCGGTTATCGCGAACATAGGCTACTTTTTTTTTCAAACAAAAGATGCCGTCAACAAAATTGACATCGCCTTCTTTGTTTTTCTGATACAAGATGTTTTTGAAAATGTTGCATTCTGAGACACCCCATGTGAAGTCCGTCGATTTTAATCTGATACTCCAAGGGAATGTGAGCTGGTGGCTCCCTACATTAAAACGCCAATGGTCACCTAACGTCACACCTGTTTTTGCCATAAGCTTCACCCCCTCGCGCCTCATACGGAAAGTGTCAGATAAAAAACGACGGACAATAGGTATCTTGGCGCTCTCATAAGTGATCGAAAAGGTGACAATTGAGTTCTTATAGATTCCAGGAGCGTAGTCAGTTTTTCTTTAGAAGTGATAGTTTTAAAATTTCAAACCAAACAGAAAACATAAATTTTTTTCTCGATTTTTTTCAAATCACACACTGTATTATCAACTCGTTTCAATGAATAGCTCTGCTTTTGCCTGTTGCTGGTTTCAATTTATAGGTCTATTTCTGCAAAAATCACAAACCAGTCAGAGCGAATTTCATTGGTTGAAAACAGTCAGAAAAGTAGTTTCAACCAATGAAATTCACTCTGACTGGTTTGTGATTTCTGCAAAAACAGACCTATTATAAATTTCAATATGTAATATTTAGGTGTAAATAAAATACGATTTTACGACAATTCCGTTTATTAGAAAACCCGTGACATACCGGTACCGATCTATTTATACACTGATATTTATTGTATATAGGTACCTACATGGTACCTACATATTTACCTTAGGATATGAATAGCCGCTGGAGTGTAGGTACTATTATAATATATAAATTGATTGCAAACACTACATACCTCCCCTTTTAAATTACTACCAAACAAAAATAGATGAATTCTGTCCCAATACCCTATTTACAAAATTAACTAACCAAAAATAAAAAAGAAAGTTCCTGGACAAAATTGCCTATTCTTATATAATATGTATATTTATTTTTTCCTACAAGCTAACATGGTACAAACCGTTCTACCGGCTTCCGCACTCTCTGTGGCCTAGGAGAGGGCGAATCAGCAGAATCATCAGATACTCCGGAATAAGGAGAACCACCAGATACCTCAAAAAAAGTGTCATCCATTTCATCATCGCTTAGTTCAATAATACTACTCGCGTTTATCAAATCATTCTCTGAAGATGACTCTGCTGTCTCTGAAAGTAACTCTGCTGGCTCTACTACATTAACATTAGGATCTAATTTACTAGTTCTCAGGGGCATTACTTCATTCATGTGACGTTTCCATGTTAATGAAGTATTTGGGATTTTTACATATATAATATTTGAATTAACAACACTAACCACTAACCCTATGATCCACTGGGCCCTTCTATAATCCTTAACTAACACTTTTTGTCCAACTTGAAACGATTTGCGCGATTTACTGGAATAATACTTTTTCTGCTTTTTTTGAACATTTTCAAGATTTTTCTTTACTTCTTCCAAAGACTTTGATGGTCTAAAACCAACATTAGAAGGCTTAAATAAATCTAATCTAGTCTTTAATGGTCTTCCGAGCATCAAACGGGCTGGCGATTCCCCTGTGCTACAATGCTCAGTATTTCTATAAAGAATTAAAAAGTTTTCTAAATCCTTTTGAGTCAAATTCTTAGGTTTTGAAATATTATCTAAAATATTGGTGAACTTTTCAATTCCTTGAGCAGGTAATATTTTACAGTCTTAACGCTATTTTCTGCAGCTCCGTTTGATGCTGGATGATAAGGTGGTGACGTCACATGATTAATACCATTATTTTTTAAAAATTCTTGAAATTCCCGAACGTTTTCCCATTATCAGAAACAATTGAATCAGGTAATCCGAATCTAGAAAAAAGTCCCCTTAATTTATCTATTGTGCTCTGTGCTGTTATATTGGACATTATAAAAACTTCCAGCCATTTGGATAAAGCGTCCAGCACCACCAAAAAAACCTTGCCATTGAGTGGACCCAAAAAATCCACGTGCAATCGTGACCATAATTTATCTGGAACCCGCCAGGGTTGCAACTCCGTTTTAGGAGGATTATTTCTTAAACTCAAGCAACTTTAACATGATTTAATCATATCTTCAATGTCATTATTGAGTTCGGGCCACCACACATGCGATCTTGCTAATGATTTACATTTCACTATGCCCAAATGTGATTTGTGCAATTCGGCTAATACTGCACCCTGAAGTGATGTTGGAATAATAACACGATAACCCCAAATTAAAATATTATCTTCGACCCCCATTTCCTCTTTTTGTGTAAAATATGGTAATAGGTTTGAATTCACTTTATCAGGCCATCCCTTTTCTACATAATACCTAACAGTTTTCAAAACTTCATCCCTTTCAGTTTCTATTTTCATTTTTTCGAGATCCAAGATAGTTTGACAATTTTCACTTACATAATTCAAAGTTACATTAACCTCTTTCGGATCCGTTAAACTACAAGTATTATCCAACGGCAATCTAGACAAAAAATCTGCGCAATTTTCCTTACTTTTGATATAAATAATATCGAAATCATAAGAGCAAAGAAATAAAGCATAACGCTGTAAGCGATTCGCTTGTTTTCTCCCAAAAATTGAAATTAAAGGTTTGTGATCGCATTTTAATAAAAATTTCCTACCCCAAAAGAAGGAATGAAACTTTTTTACTCCAAAAACAATACTCAGAGCTTCCTTATCAATTTGTGAATAACGCTTTTCCGCATCTGATGTTTTTGACGGAAATGCAATAGGTCGTTCCACCCCACTAGGGTAAACGTGTGACAGCGTGGCTCCCAGCCCATAAGAGGCATCAACGGTCAAAACTAAGTCTAAATTTGGATTATAATGTGCCAAAAACTGATCAGAAGCTATAATTTGTTTTATTTTTTCAAAGGCTGAATTACATTCTGCTGTCCAAAGAAATTCATTTCCCTTTCTCAAAAGCTTATATAATGGATATAAGATATCTGATGTATGAGGAATAAATTTATGATAATATTGAATTGAGCCGATAAATGATTGTAGCAGTGCCATATTTATAGGCCGGGGTATTCCCAAAATTGCCTCAATTTTCTTTTTTGACTTATGCAACCCCTCCTTATCAATGACATGGCCCAAATACTCAATAGAGTCCTGAAAAAATTGACATTTTTCCCTTTTAATTGTTAGACCACAACTGCTTAACCTCCCTAACACTGCATTTAATCTATCATAATGTATTTTTTTATCCTCCCCCGTGATCAATATATCATCAAAAAAACAGCAAACCCCGGGAATCCCTAGTAGAACCTTTTCAATAATTTCCTGAAACATTCCCGGAGCACAAGAAACGCCAAAAGGCAATCTAGTGTAAGCATAACATCCCTTATGAGTCGAGATCGTGGTGTATTTGATTGAGGCCTCATCTAGTTGCAATTGTTGGTACGCGAACGCCAAATCTAATTTGGAAAATTGCTCTCCACCCGATAATTTACAGAATAAATCTTCAATACGAGGTATGGGGTAACGATGCATTTCAATATGTGGATTTAAAGTGATTTTAAAATCGCCGCAGATGCGCACGCTACCATCTTGCTTAAGAATAGGCACTATAGGAGTACCCCAATCTGAATATTGTACTGGTTTAAGTATGCCCATACTCACCAATTTTTCAAATTCAATGTCAACCTTTTCTTTGATAGCATAAGCAATAGAACGAGGCTTTAAAAATTTTGATACTGCATCATCTTTTAATTTTATTGTAAATTTGCTTTTATTAAACGTGCCTAATTTATTACTAAAAACGTCGCTATATTTTTCCATTA